AACTAAAGGTACTTTCAACTTCCTGGAATAAAGTAAGCATAAATTTGCTGCTCTGATTCAAACCTTTCTTTACATGACTACCTATGGCTACGACGTAATCAAGGCTGCTCCTCCGTTTGGCGTAATCTTCACCACTTTTTCTGTTTTACAAAGATTTCTTTCATGTGTTTCTTCATTCTCATGTTCTTAGCTTTGACAAACTATTTTTTTTAAACCTTTGGTAACGATTCAGTCGAAGACACATTCGCTCACATTGTGCTTTAGTCTATTTTCTCACTGGTTAGTTCCTTCAAAAGCTTCAATTTCATTCAATTTGCCTTTAGTCCAGATCAGGCGTGCAACCATCCCAAGCTAGGACTCGCTGATCGGCAGCGAACATGTTCAGTAGCGAACCGTTCGGTAACAAACCGTTTGGTGCCCATCAGCGATTCCTAGTTTGGGATTGTTGCATGCCTAAGAGAGTACGAAAAATCAAGTTTTGATTATCTAAATTTTAATTTGAACTAATTTAACTTTCACCTACAACATACAAACTATAAATAAAAAGAATGTATCCTCAAGGAAGCGTAGAATTTTTTCAATAGGAAAAGAAACATATATGTAGAAAATCTAGTCCGAGCATCGAAATATATGCTTTTAAACTTATTCTTTTCAAGTAATATACAAGTGGAATGCTTCCGTTCTGTTAGTTTACACGACATGAGAGGTAATCTATGGCTAGACTGGTCCAGTGAGAGGGATGAATTTAAAGGTTTAAAGTATAAAAATCGGATTGCTCATATACAAAAGGTTTATCATGGAGTTTTAGTGTTTTCCTAAGAATGTTAATTTTGGAGCAACTACAACCGACGCCACTACAATGACGGAACTTATAATTACTTCTCTCATAAAATGCACCAGAGGTGAACCAAAACTTCACGATAATCCTTTTTGTATATGTGCAATCCGATTTTTATACTTTCAACCTTTAAGGGTAGCCCCCTCTTTTTTTACCATCTTGGAAACCGGGGGAGCTGATGTCTGATCGGATTCAAATTTATATCAGAGATAGAACATCGAGAAAGAAACTCGACGTATTTTTGCCCAGAATTTTCTGACGTGTTTTTCTATGGGTTTTGTGGGAAACTACAGTTTTCATTGGCACACGTTACGATCCCCCGAAAAAATGGTCCGATCGAGCTCATAATTTTAGCACAGATACTTCAGATCCTATCTCAGGTTCACTTTGTTTCTTTTTGAAAAATATGCTTTCTTTCTTGAGATATTCGAAAATTACTAAAAGTCCCATATAAAAAAAACGGTTTTTCGTTTTGAAAACCTTGTCACGTCGAAAGTTGAAATCGGAAACGCTTTTAAAAAAAGATGAGCCTGAGATAGGGTCTGAAGTATCAGTGGTAAAAGTTTGAGCTCAATCGGGCCGTTTTTTCGAGGGATCGTAGTGTGTGCCAATTGAAGGGACTATTGAAAAAACATATTTCGAGAAAAACGCAAAACAATATTAAAGTACAAGTTTTGCCTTAAAGATGTACATTATAGCCGTGTGTTCAGTGTACCTGTAGGTTATCGACCATACTCTATCTGATAGACATGTGCAGGAGCATGTACCACATATGTTGAACCATATGCTAGCATATGTAGAGGTATGCGGTTTAGTCCGATGAGGGACCATTTCGAAGTGTCTACTTGTTTTTTGTCCGAAATATAGGTGATTATAGGTACTTGACGATGCTGATTCCGGATATGATGGTCATCACATATCGTACATGAAGTTTTAGTTCTGGCAGACGTGTTTTAACTGAGCTGTGAAGTTTTAATTACAAGTGGTGATAATGGTTCATCGGAAACGGTAAATTTTTTTAACAAAGTTTTGATGTTCCGTCGTGAGAATTTAAAAGAATATCTCGGAGTTTACACTGAATGTTCCTCTACTTTCTTTTCAGTTTATTGTTATTGAAAGGAGTGCAGACGCTATTTCTGTGTGCAATAAAAATATAAGATAAGATATGAGCATAAGTAATTGATTCAATTTTTTTTACTCATCTCTTTATTGATAATACAAAAACGTATTATACGTGCCTCATTCAGTATTTATCAGAAAAAGATAAGCGTTTCAGTTATAATAAAATCAAAACTTGTGGTATAAAAGAGAAAACGAAAAATGAAAGCCAGAGTTGTGCGCAGAAACAGGTAATAAATGTGTTGTTTTATACTATGTATAAATTGTTTATATCTTCTTCGTCCACTGGCGGGTACTTAGTTGCAGTTTTAGCGTTAGCTTTCGCAGCCATGTTTTACTTTATTCTCAAGGATAAACAGAAAGACTTAGAGCTATTATTTATCATAAGAAAACATGTGGAAAATTTTTTTTTCGACTCTTTCTTTTCATCCATACTTTTTCTTCAGCACGTACACGGATACATTTATTCATCATCGCATATTTTCACATTTAAAAGAAAATAAAAATATAGATCCAACGACAAAAAATAGATAACATTAGAAATATATTGTCGCTTACGGATTATTAATCGACCAACCATGGTTCCAATCAGCAATCGGAAAGTGCACTGGGGTATTGACTAACTCATAAGAAAAAGTCTTTTACCAAGACAAAAAACATTGAAAACCTATCCGCATATGCCTCTACAATACGCTGTCGCATATGCGGCACATGCCTCTGCACATATCCATCGGATAAAGCAAGATCGATAACCTACAGAAAATGTAACTTTTATAAGCATAAAACGTATAAATTTTACCCAAATCAAGAGAAAACTAAAAAAGTTTTTCAAGAGCGGTTTCTGTAAGCCGCCTAGAAACCCTTTCTCACTTGTTTCAGACTCTAATACTATTCTAATGAAAGAGGGCACCTTAAAGTATTTAAATCAGTCGAAAACCAAAAATTGATTTTTTTGATCAAAAAGAGGGGGTGTACCCTTAAGTTTACCCTTCTCACTAGAGCATTTCGGCCGTGTAGCGTGTAGCGAAAAAAAATGACTCGTTAAGACTTAATATGCGTCCAACTACGTGAAAAGTTCATTTTCTATCGAATGGACTATTTCAGGAGGAAATGTGTATGCCATCTGGTATTGTAAATTGAATAAACGAACGAAATTCTTTTTTTTCTTCTTATAGTACAATCAATCGATATTGCTTGACGATCACAGTTTTACGTTATTGGTATCAGTATCTGAAGAATTCAATTCGGAACAATTCGAATGTTTAATTGATTTAATTTCAGAAGTAAGTTTCTTATGATTATAGAGAAATGTAATAGAAAATCAAACTTCTTTGATCCATTTGAAATCAAATACATTTTTAAATCTTATGGAAAACTAATTTAATTCGATTCATCTCATCTCAGGTTTATTTTACAATTAAAGAGAAAAGTGTTAATGCTATGAGACTAATGTTAAAGTTATTCAGGTATCTAAGGCTGCAGCAAAAAAGTAATTAATAAGTTCAAGACACTGTTACGATTTTAAATGCAGATTTTTCGTGATTGTTTCATTCGAAAAGTTTTAATTAATGAAACAAGACGTAGATATGTATTAGCCCTGTCCACTGAAGTCCGGTTGATCACGAGTACCCCTTTTCTTTTCTGAAGGTCCTTGAAAGACTAGATGCCAACTACCCTGCAGGAAGACTGAAAAGTCGATCGAGTGAAATGTTTCTTAGAGGCACTTTAATCGCCATTTGACTCCCATGGATAGTCTCGAATCCGTTAGAAATCTTTTCTCTGTCTTCAAAGAGTGTACATATGACGAATTATATCTTCTCTCTCCTGTACATTGTGCAACGGGTCGCTATCGTTAAATGAGAATTTAAAAACCTCAGTATATGTTTCATTTTGTATCTCCGTATTGAATACCGTGATATTATTTAATTTTTGGAATACCATTATTTGTCTCAGAGTGGAAGAATCTATTCCCTCGTTCTCAGAATTTGTTTTAGCTTCATGCATCATCTCTCTAGTCGATAGCGTTATATTATTTGATTCTTAGAATGCCATTAATTATGTAAGACTCTGAGAATCTATTTCTCTAATTTCAGTTTATGTATACCTTCCTACAATCGGTATTCATAAATTTAATCGTCGAAACTGTTGTACACATAAAACGTATGCATCAGCTGATTCATTGTCACTTCATACGCTGTTCAGCAAGTGCTACTATACTAAACAGAAGTCTCTATTCACTGTTAAATATCATGTGACCATTAATTATCTCGTAGAGAAAACGGTTAAGTTCTGTAAAATATGTACTCATTTCATAAGACTAATTATGTGATAAATAAAACATAAATCGAAAAACTGACTGTAGATGTGTCATCTCTACAGCTCCTCTACTTTCGTATCATCTTACTACTAAATCTGTATGATCAGCGCTAGCTGAGAATGAATGACTGACTAAATGTAGTGTCTAGAAGAAAGAAGAACTTTTTTGTAGTGAAACAAAATAAGCCTCCTTGAGTTTCACTCGGTCTGCTTAATGACCACTTTAAACATATAATGATAATATTTTTGATCACACAGTTATTCAGATGTTGTTTTCTTTACACGTTTCTTTTGTCTTCCATCACAATTATATTACATGCAACTTTTATTACAAATGATTTTGTTTGGACAACGAGAACATTCCCGAACATTCGTTTGATTCTATACGATCCCAATGATTTAATTTTTCTTGTTCAACGGTTAATTTATTAGTTACTGGGCTCGATGTAGTTGTCGTGTGAGGAAACATCACATTTTGTTGAAAACTTTTGTAAAAACTCGAGGATGAAGATGTTTGAGACAATATTGAAGTTTGTGAATTAGGTGCCACTTTTATTGTGACACCTGACTGACTGACATGGGTTAATCCACTGGAAGAATCTTTCTCGCAAAAGCGTTCCTTTTGAAAAAAGACATTTGAAATATGTTTCTATTCGCCACTTCCCACAATGAACTTTTTCAAAAGTACTTCAGTACGTAGATGAACATACTTGCTTTTAATATGTAATTAAAGATCAAGTTTAAATCTTTTTTTAATATCATTTCGACACATATGACATTTTTTTAATTGATTTGAACAATTCGAACAACAACCATGCCCACAATCAAACATAATTGCATTTTCGTTATTTGAACATATCTGACATTGATAACGATCTTTTATCTGTTCTATAGTAAACTCTAATTGTTCAATTTTCTTACGCAATTCTTCTACAGATGGATTTGAATAATCATGATATAAGTTGTAACAATTCAAACCTTTAAATAAAAACCAAAAAGAAAAATATAATTTCATTCAATTCACGAAGGTTAATAGCTTCTTCAAATGCTCAGACAATTCTTATAAATTATAATATTGAATTCTCTTCAGACGAACCCAAGATGCTAGATGACATACTTTCTCCGGCGCTTTATCCTTTCAATTATTCTTAATAAAAGTGTTAGTCAAAGAGTGCATTGATAGGAAAACCGATACATATTCAAATGCTAGCTTGAAGTCCATTGGTCATTTAAAATAACTTCACATGTACGTATGACAGTGCATATAAAAGTAGTACGTATAGGATAAGCATATGTAGTCAAATGAGTTAACTATCACAGTATTTTAAGAATATGCCGTACATTTCCTGCTTGAGACGCACTAAGCGAAAGTTGAAGTAGTTTTCTTCTTTGAGGTTTATGGAAGACTGTACAGTTTCAGCAGCAGAACAGGTTGATGATGAAAATCACATTGAAGGTTGGATATCTTTACAGAAAAAGCAGCAGTTTCAACTTCCACAGTTCCGTGGAAATTCCTGTAGAATTCTGCAGCACTGCAGAATTCAACCACACATTCAACTCTACACTGTAACTAAGATTCTGTTCGGAATCTGGTTGCATTCTGGTAGAATTGAACCAGGGGGAGGATAGGAGAGAACATGAGAGTGAGTACTGATAGCTTGAATTCTGCTGAATGCTAGTAGAATTGCGCCAGATTCTGCAAGAATTACAGCAGAATTGAGCAGAATCTGCCAATTCGTAGAGAGAATCTAAATGTGAACTAATATAACTCGTATAACTAGAATTGGAATTCTACCAGAATTCAACCAGATTCCGAACAAAATCTTAACTACAGTATATATTTAGATGTGAAGTTGAATTCTGCAGTTCTGCAGAATTCTGCCGGAATTTCCACGGAACTGTGGAACTTGACACCACTCAGAAAAAGGGGAAAAATATGTTTTAATGCTCAATGTTTGTCGATCATATATAAAATATGTACACCAATCCTTCTTATGATTGAATAATAAAGAGAAGAAAAACACTTAAGTGTGAACTAATTCTGTTATAAAACGTCATTCCACACACCAAATATAGACAGTCTTTATGTATGTTTTTCAGCTCACGAAGAATTAGATTAGATAAATCCAGAAGATGTCAGCCTTTTTATTGAAACTAGATATGCACCTTTATCGGTATACTGAATACTGAAAATATCGAACTTCAGCATCAACCGATATCAAAATATCTACATTTTTCGATTTTGAACGTTTGAGATATTTCAACAGGTGAGTGCTTTTTATACGTTTTCTGGGCGTCTATGACGTTAAAATATCTCATTTCAAATGAAAATATCCACAAAGATCGAAATCGGAAAATGTAGGAATATTCGGTATGAGTATATACCGAAAACGGATATTTTCGAAATCGGTATTTCGATATGAATACTGATGCCGATACATACATAATTAAGACCTAGGTGTATTGCAAAAAGTTAGATACATTTCACTATACCGGGTCCAAATAGATAAGTGAAAATTTCAAAGAAACATCGCCGCCATGATTTTTTCAATCTTAGGAGATATCGATCTAAAAATTAAATATTCTGCGATTCGTATCAGTTAATGCGTTTTCAACTGTGAAAAAACATTCGATCCAGTAGTTATGTAGTACTTAATTGGTTTTTCAAAAATATGTATAACACTTTTTGGTGTTTTACGGATGCATTATAATATATCAGACATGAAGAGTAAAACTGATCAGTGAGTTGTATCACACATAACATACCTGTTTCTGTTAATTTTGATGAATCCAATTTTGATATATGTTTTTCATACAACTCTATTCGTGATTGACCGTTCATTTCATTGAAAGATGTAATAAACCAACCAAAACCTAATTCATTATCGATTAAACATGCTTCATGATTCGTGATTAATGTTAACCATAATTCTTCTGCACGACGTAATATTACATACATACGTGCTTTTTTCAATATATATGTCAGTAAATCTAACTCAATTTTTAAAGATTCTTTGTATGTATGACGTTTATCGATGAGTGTATCTGAGCTTACATTTCCATTAGTCTGCATCCACACATCATGCTGACACCGACCTATAGTTTGTATTAAATATAAAATCAAATCATTTTTATTGATTAAAAAGTATATAATTTCTGTATCAAATTCGACTAATTTCATTATATAACGACAAGATAGGACGATCCATTGTAAATTATAGCTTTTTATATAGTCCATACATTTTAAACAATAGTCATATTTTAATTTATGATTTAAATAATGGCTACCGCTGGAAATATCACGGTGGCAGGATAATAACCGATCAAGCATAGAACACGGTAAACTTTCGTCATGTGCCATAGTCCATAGAATTTCTAATATCTAAGACACCAAAAGAAACAGTAATTAAAACAACCTTTCAGAAAAAAACTTACCCTCTCTGAATGTTGCATATTCATTAGTTTATGTCCAACTTTGTTTAATGAATCAACTAGTTCGTCTTGTGTCGCATTTGTTGCAAATTTCCAGAGCTAAAAAACAAATAATTTTAATAGTCTCTACATTGCTTTCGAATGAGATATACAGGGTTTTGCATAACCTTTTGCTAGGAGGACACAACTCAAACTCAAAGAGATATAAAACTGAATTTTACACCAGATGAAAGCCCGTCGAAAATGAGATTTAGGAGCATATGTGGTATTTCATAGGATGATAATAGGCTATAGAATTACGGAAAGTTTCAGAACTTCAGGAATATAATTGGGTACTTGCATGGGTAATCTACCACGGACACACAATGGTCTCCGAAAATTTTTTCGCGTATCACTTTTTTTAGAGCTTTCTTTGCTGATCATTTTGGTAAAAAATTTCAAATTTGATAAATAAATGTCGGAGCTGGGATTCAGACAGGGAAAAAATCTCAAACAGCTTTGTCTGTTGCATCATGGTGAATTACCTATGGAAGTACCCAATTATATTCCTAAAGTTTTGAAACCTTCTGTAATTCTATAGCATATTATCATCCTATGAAATAACACATATGCTCCCAAATCCCGTTTTCGACGGGCTTTCATTTGGTATAGAATTCAGTTTTATATCTCTTTTAGTTTGAGTTGTGTCCCTCTAGCAAAAGGTTATGCACAACCCTGTAGATGTGTCACACTGTAAAAGAATGTTTAATAATAAATCGAAAAGATTCAAGAGTGCTGAGAACAGATCACGAATTTAGATAATGCAATGGTTTTTCTTACCGATTTTTCCAGTCTCCAAAATGGACACATTTAGTGATAAAGCAGAAAGCTCTCTAGATTCATTATTAAACCTTTCCCTTGCCAAACTACATGTTTCTATATAGAAAACTGATTTTGGCAGATACTTTATGCCTCAACTACTCAGAAGAAAGTTTTATCTTTACTACTTTTGCAATCTTGCATGATAACCCAGAAAGCTGTAAACCACATTTATATAAACTTAAACGTGTTAAATGGTATTTTTCGGTAAATCTGGGAGAGATCAAACGACATAAAGATCATCCTGTCACTCTACTCTGGAACTTTTTAAGTCCTGAACAACTTTCTCTTTAATTGTAAAATAAACCTGAGATGAGATGAATCAAATTAAATTAGTTTTTCATAAGATTTAAAAATGTATTTGATTTCAAATGGATCAAAGAAGTTTGATTTTCTATTACATTTCTCTATAATCATAAGAAACTTACTTCTGAAATTAAATCAATTAAACATTCGAATTGTTCCGAATTGAATTCTTCACATACTGATATCAATAACGTAAAACTGTGATCGTCAAGCAATATCGATTGATTGTACTATAAGAAGAAAAAAAAGAATTTTGTTCGTTTATTCAATTTACAATACCAGATGACATACACATTTCCTCCTAAAATAGTCTGTTTAATAGAAAATGAACCTTTCACGTAGTTGGACGCATATTAAGTCTTAACGAGTCATTTTTTTTCGCTACACGCTACATAGCCGGAATGCTCTAGTGAGAAGGGTGAACTTAAAGGTTGAAAGTATAGTTTTGGTTCACTTCTGGTGCATTTTATGAGAGAAGTAATTATAAGTTCCGTCATTGTAGTGGCGTCGGTTGTAGTTGCTCCAAAATTAACATTCTTAGGGAAACACTAAAACTCCATGATAAACCTTTTGTATATGAGCAATCTGATTTTTATATTTTGAACCTTTAAATTCATCCTTCTTACTGAACCATTGTAGCCATAGATTGCCTCTCATGTCGTGTAAACTTAGGAAACAGAATGGAAGCATTCCACTTGCATATTACTTGAAAAGAATAAGTTTAAAAGCATATATTTCGATGCTCGGACTAGATTTTCTACATATATGTTTCTTTTCCTATTGAAAAAATTCTACGCTTCCTTGAGGATACATTCTTTTTATTTATAGTTTGTATGTTGTAGGTGAAAGTTAAATTAGTTCATATTAAAATTTAGATAATCAAAACTTGATTTTTCGTACTCTCTCTCACGGAATACTTTCATTTATGTCTATATGAAAGATTACCAGAGCATTATGGGACGGGACTGAAACAAAATTGTGTTAGTGTTCTCTATTCGTGGCTATTCGCCCGGTATGACTGGCTAGAGATATTTTCAGTGAACATATCGTATATCCTTTGAGTATATTGACATTCTTTGACTTTTTTACGTTTCTTATAAAACTACCCAAGCAAAAATTGCCCAGCGAAAAAATCTAGATGTTCTTGCTGGCGCATTGGGCAATGCGCCAGCAAGAACATCTAGGTAAAAGAGTAAAAAATATTGACTTATCTAGATGTATCGGGTTGAATCCAATGCTACACAATGCAACTCTCAATGCCTTGAGAAGCAATAAGAAAAATATACTTGTTTCGTGCACTTTTCGTTTTTCACCTACCCAACTTCATTGATGAAAGTTCTGAGTTTAAACCAAAATCAAGTAAGATTTCATCTACGAATATCTTCGTACATAACATCCGAAAAAACTAAAAACCAAAGATGAAATCTCATTTGATTTTGGTTTAAACTCAGAACTTTCATTCAATGAAGTTGGGTAGGTCAAAAACGAAAAGTGCACGAAATAAGCATATTTTTTTGTCTCCGTCCACATATCAGAGCACTGTATTGGAATAAATGTATTTATTGAAACACTGACATATCCGTGCATTGACAATGATGTCTAGATGTATTGTCTGAATCACTGAGTCAGCCAGATGCATGAACCACTTAATGGACGCTAAGTGCATTGTTCACAGCATTGCTCATGTAGATGCATAGGCAATGCTATGTCGTTACATGGAGAAAACATTTATCTGTATTCAGCTGTATCCAGATATCTCCATATTTATCTAGATACAACGTGCGATGTCTCGATGGCTTTCTTTTTACGCATTTAGATGCATCGACCAGTGAATTGACGAATCTAGATACATTGGGCTATACTCCATGCTTTTTGTGTGCTTGGGTATGTATATTTAATATAATTGAAAAACATATTTGTAAAATGATTTTACAAATATGTTTTTCAATTATATTAAATATACTTAGTTATATCATTTGATTAACTCGTTATATAATATTAGTTTTATTTGAAACGTTCGTGAAAGTTGATTCAAGGAGATGTTCATTACTTGAACAATAAAAAAGCGGACTGACGAATAAAGTAGTTTTAGCATAGAATGAGCTCATTTAGAGAGGGAATATGTGTCGTCTGTTTTCGATGTGTTTATGAACTGTCTGTTGAGTGTTTCATGTTACAATAGTGTCGAAGACTATATGAATGGCTCATTTTTGTATCGATTGACATTGAAACAAGTTCTTTCAGAAGAAAATATAGCTCCTTCTTTATAGGAAAGTAAACCAACCTCTGCTTTCCATATCGTTTCAATATCTGTCTTTGTTAGTTTTGGTCCGATAAACTTGAATAATTTACCCGTATTTGTTATGTAATTAGAATTGTTCATATCTCCTGAAAAGAAAGAGATGATGCGCGATTTTGAACTTCGATAAATTGAATTTATATACTCATACCTTTCAAAACTTCGGACACAATTGAACTTTCAATTATCCATTGAGATAAAATATCACAATCAATACTTTTATGTGTTACGTTGAGCAATACCGTAGTTGAATTTTCAATCATGATCACTAACTATAGTCAAAGAACATCAAAACAATAATTAAGCCATTTGGTTATTAATTTCAGAAAAGTAAAACAGGCTATTTAATGATTTTTAAATGAAAATTAATCTACAGTGTGTTAACTAATTTACCTACTTTATGCTATTATTTAAGAACGCAGGGTGTAATCAAAAGCAATCTAAACAAAAGTAGTCTTACCTCTTCCAAAGCATTTGTCTTCAACTTCATATTCGGTGATTGCAATAATTTTGAAATAATGTTTAACTGTAGTTTATGTATGATTTCGATGCGATCTGACCACGCGGAGCAACATATTGTTTTCAATGTTGTTAGTAGATCAAACATAGAATCACTCGTTGTAACCTAAGAACAATAAGAAATAATATAAATTTTGAAATAACTGAACATAAATAACAAGCATATTACTTCAAAGATATTTTCTTCTTCATTTAACACTTTCTTAACATGTTTCATAGCTTGTTCAACATGTTCATTGAATAAATGCTGATATTTATCGATGAATATATAATCCAGACAATTAGCAAATATTGATAATAAAGCATTATATTCCTATTTGGAAAAATATAAAACCATTAAAAATAACTAACTTTCAAGTTTTTTTAGCAAACAGTGTAAATAATTTGTCTATTTATCCAAAGCTTAAAATCATCAGAACATACTTACAGGACTCAAATTTTTTATTGCTGTATAGTGAAACTGAAATGTTTGTTGTAGGCAAAATTAAAACCTAGACAATTTTTAAAATTGCCCGGACAACAAACTCATATTTTCACCAAAATTTTGTGTCTTTACGGTAGATTAGCCTTGGATATAAAAATAAAGATTATTATCGGCGCCAAAATACAGTGCACTTGGTTGTTTTTGCAATAACTCAATCGCGATTTGCACAAGAGACTTGCGGTTTTCAGTAACCGAAACTAGACAGTTGAGGTCTCATGAGCAAAAACCAATTTGAAAAAGATTCAGAAAATTGGGTTTTCCAAGAACCTTTGAGAAACTAACTTGGATCTCGGAAAGCAAAAATTGCAATCCATAGATTTCTTTTCATAGGTAATAGATCAAGGTATCTTATACAAATCGGGACCTAAACAACCTCTGGCTTTCACATGGTTTTTGAAGGGTTACGATTTTCTCCGAAGCCACATGATTCCCATTAAGTTGGGTCTGAGACCAGTGAAAACATATGGAAACATAGGTTATGCTGAATGAACTTGTGGCAATATTTGTTTTTCAAACAAGTTTCAAAAACCTAGTGGAAACATAAGGTGCCCGCAATTCAAAAATGCAGAATAATCGTAGCTTTCGGTCGAAAGCTACATAGTCAGATAGCCCTAACTGAACTGATTCCGAATATCACCTTTTGATTCAAATCCTCAAAATACTAAGAGCCCCCAATAGAACAAAAGATTTGCATCCCTCTGAAAAAACTTGAGATTTTGCCACCTTCCGTTCACTGTAATTTTTCGAATTTGATATATTCGGATTCACCATCAAAAACTGGGTCTAATCGT